AATCAGTTGTTTTTTTTTAGCAGTTCGAGGAGGTTTATCGCTGTGTTTCGAATTAGTGCTATTTATTTGTTATTCTATTCTTTTTTCGAGCTATGGAAAGGAGACATTGTGTTAATAATGTAGACTGCTTTTGTTTATTTGTGGCAGTTTTGAGGTTGCAAAACAAAGATATAACATAACCTTATTTAAACTTTGATGGTACACAAGGCAAATATCGAACACAGTAGTTAATCAAATCTTGCCCAAGTACTTTCGATCACAAGATCATCCTCAGGAGCATTTCGTCAGTTGTGGCCTATCCATCAGTAATAGAATGTTATAAATGTAAATTGGGACATAACAAATACACTAAACAAAGACAGCCAACACTTTAAAATATAAGAAATGGATAAGCTACATTTTATATAGAAGCCGGAGACAGAATGATACAATGACAGTTTGATAACCTTATTTGTTCGTAATGCGTATCATGCCTATTTCGGAGTGAAAATAGTAGAACAAGACAAATCTTGGGCACCACACATTGTATCTAAAGTTTGTGTAGAAGCTTTAAGAAGTTGGACAAAAGCAAGAAAAATGTCATTAAGTTTTGGAGTTTCCATGGTGTGGCGTGAGCCACAAAACCATTCTAATGATTGCTACTTTTGCTCCTGCGATTTAAAGGTATTTATTGGTGAGAATAAAAGGAGTTAAAGCATGTGTTATCGTCTGATTCGACACAGTATGCATTTGAGTCCACAGATCCCGACGTTACTTTTGAAGCAGAAGAAGGACCTCAACCCATTCTAGAAGATCTGAGGCATCTTTATGATGCCATACTTTCTTCTTCTAGTTCCTATCCGTTTCGGATGTTGGAAATCATATTGGCAATCATAACCTTGCTCGCTGCGGCTCGAAACAGCTCCGTTGAGGTTTTCTTAAACCATGTTCTTAAATTCCGCAGCCATAATATTCTCCTTCTACCGGGTCCTCGCTTACCTTTGACTTTACCTTGCAATATAGACTGTAGCAGGGAGTAACGGTGCTGATTTCTCATAACGTGTCCCAGATATTGCAATTTTATGCGTTTGATCGTAAACACAATCTCTGGTTCCTTATTCATTTTTCCTAGAACTTCCTTGTTCGTGATCCTTGCTGTCCATGATATTCTCAGCATTCTTCTATAAAGCCACATCTCAAATGCTTCAAGTTTTTTAATAGTGGCGTCTGTAAGCGTCCATGCCTCCGCCCCGTACAACAACACAGAGAAAACATAGCATCTCAAATGTCTCATTTTTGTATCAAGGGATATGTTGTGACTTTTGAAGATGGCGCTCATTTTGTTAAAGACCGTTCTTGCCTTTCCTATGCGGCACTTTATTTCCTGTAAATTGCTCCACTGTTCGTTAATAATAGTTCCCAGGTAACAATACTGTTTTACTCGCTCTATCTGCGTCCCATTAATGTATATATGAGCCCCATTTATATTCTCCTTGCTGATAATCATTTGTTTCGTTTTGTGGATATTAATGTTTAGTCCGTACTGTTGACTGTACTCGTTTATTCTGTCCATTAGCCTCTGAAGTCCCTCTAAACTATCTGCTATCACCATGGTGTCGTCGGCATATCTAACATTGTTTACTCTTTCACAATTTAGAAGGATGCCTTCATCTATTCTGTAAATAGCCTCGTTAAAATTTTTCTCTGAGTACATATTAAATATCAACGGCGATAGGATACATCCCTGTCTAACTCCACGTAGTATTTTTATGTGATCTGTTTCTTCTCTGTTAATTTTCATGTATGCGGTCTGATGCCATACTTTACCAGTCCATATTTTACTCAAAAAGATTCTTTAGTATATTGTAACAATATTTCCTACTTAGTTATTACGCTAAGAGCTGCCTCTTATGAAAAGGAAGAATGACGACTATTTATTGACTCAAAGGTGTTTTACTGCACAATGGTAATACACTGGCTTCTGTTCCAGTCGTCCACTTGAAACTTCTCTTAGAAAAAATTAAATACCGAGAACATAACTGGATGCTTTGTTTAGATCTAAAAGTTCTGTGTATGCTACTTGGGCAAAATAGTCAGGTTATACTAAATATCCTTGCTTTGTTTGTTAATGGGACAGCAGAGCACTAGAAAAACATTGAACCAAAAAAGAATGGCCTAAAAGAGAAAACCTTACGACAGGTTTACCAAAGAACTATTTACAATATCGGAGAATGTTTAAAATATATTTGTTTAACATTTTCCAAGTTGTCCGATGCAAAATTAAAGGAGTTTTTGTTGATCCCGACATTAGATTTTTATGCAGAGATTAAAACTTTCACAATTTTATGACGCTTATTGAAAAGAAAGCGTAGACTTCATTTAAAGAAGTTATTGAAAAGTTTTTGGGAAATAAAAAAGTTCCAGACTATGAGAACATTGTCACACAAATGCTACATAATTTTCATATTCTAGGATGCAATATGAGTTTAAAAGTACATTTTTCATTCGCTCATCAAGAGCAAGGGAAACGTTTCCACCAAGACATTAGGCAGATGAAAAGACGTTATCAGGGTAAATGGAGCGTATCCATGATGGAAGACTACTGTTGGATGCTACAACGTGATAATCGTGACAAAATTTATAGAAAAATTTCTACCAAACGCAGTTTTTTTACAAAAAGGAAAAGATTTCATTAAGTTGTGCATACAAAATGTGTAGTTTTCTTTATTTTGAGCATTACTCTTATTTTTAAAATATATTAATATATTATATAAATATAATAATATATATATTTATAGTGTTTTTTTTTATTTTTAATTTGCTAAACAAAATTTGCTGGTGTACAAACTGGTAAGCAGGTTTTGTATGTTTTCAATAAAATTGATAGTGTGTAAAATAATTTATTAATTAAACTGAGTATACTTTCGACATAATAAATATCATCATCAGAGCTATCCTAGAATAACGTTAAGTTAAGTAAATTTTTTATAAAATACAATGACAGAAAAAACTTACGTCAATTAGGTAATAAATACTTTATAGAAGGAAAATTGTGGACAAACCACATATTAAAAAACAAAGATCGGGCTCTCTAGGCCACAGATCTTGGGTCTAACCCTTATACATAATATGTATAATTCACATCAATTACTGAAAATAGAAAACATGGTTACCACATACAGCAACGACAACAGCTGTTTCTGACTTACATTTTTGAAGTAAGATGAAGGAGGAAGCTCGGATATACGGAGTTATTTCCGATATATACAGCAATGACAACAGCTGTTTCTGACTTACATTTTTAAAGTAAGATGAAGGAGGAAGCTCGGATATACGGATTTATTTCCATATATCCGAGCTTCTTCCTTCATCTTACTTCAAAAATGTAAGTCAGAAACAGCTGTTGTCGTTGCTGTATGTGGTAACTATGTTTTCTATTTTAAGTAATTGATGTGAATTATACATATGTATAAGGGTTAGACTCAAGATCTGTGGCCTAGAGAGCCCGATATTTGTTTTTTAATAGGTTGTTTCTACAAAAAATTTTTTTTGTAGCCCTGTGCTATTGACAAACAGTTTACAAAAACATGTCAAGTTTTGAATACAAAATATTAACAAACATAAAGACAAGTGTTGAAATATCACAAAAAAATAAGTTATTCAACAGATCCAACATAAATTGAAAGTATTGTCCGTTTGCTTTCTCATTTTCTTCTACACTGCGTATAGTCCGGTTAAATGTTCCAAACACATATATTTGCCACACTGCCTACAAAGAAACCATAGTTTTTGCGGTTTTTCTTATTACTGTAGATCGTATATCTTCCATTCACATTATTCTGGATAGGTTGATTTCTTGTCTGCATGTCACAAATTTCCACTAACCTTATACGAATCGTTCTTGGAATATTTTGTTCTAAGGCTCGTCTGTGAATATGTTCGTCAATAAGTTGAAATATTTCAAAAACTTTCATCTAGGAATGCGTGTGTTTATATTCGATTTCTATATAATGTAGGAATTTATCCCAGCGATTGTAAAATTCGTCACTTAATTCAAACAACTGTAGAAGATAACCATTGGCCAGCGACGTATTGCTCTAGCGCTATTGTATGCCGCGTAGAGTTCGTCTACGACATCCACGCCTCCTTTACACCCCTTTCAGACGAGGATACTGTATCCGAGACGCAGATATTACTTAGACTCAAAAAATGGAGCTTTTTACACGGGACGCGCGAGTGATACAGTATGCGAGATACCGAATGCGTATGCCAGATACAGAAGAAACATTACGTTAAATGAACGCTTTCAGACACAAATTCTGTATTTCGCATACAGTATCTCACATACAGTATCTCCTCGTCTGAAAGTGGTCTTAGTCTTATTATAATCTATGATTATTTCTGGTTTACCTGTTGCATTATCAATGTTTTTGTCGTAATGCATAGTAGATAACACTAAAACATTTTTACCTTTTCGGGGTACATAAGATACAAGGGTACACTTCTCTTGTAAATCTCCATTTACCTTCCATATGTTCTTAATAAATCGTCAGCATTCTGATAATTGCTTTTGTTATCGCTAGATATGTACATCAGCCCAAACAGAGCTTTTAATTCTATAAGATTAAGTGGCCTAGCCGTTCTGTTATTGACTGTGTCATAGCATTTAAACGCTATGAACTTATTGGTGCATTCTACTTCTTTTTCTAGAATATCTGTAGTGAAAAAACATTCCCAATTTTTTTTTATTGTCAACTTTCGCTTATTATCATCTTTTGGTTCTGCCATATTGGGTAGAAGATTTTCAGTACGAGTTCGAACGTTACGATTAAATTCATAATGTTTTCTTCACCTTGTTCCATCTTTCTTAAACAAACGTAGTATGCACGGTATTACTTCTACCGGTACTTTATTTTCGACATATTTTTTATCACAGAAATCCTCCTCTGAATTCGTATCATATTCTAGAACTTGCGTCGTCATCTTCTGGTTCCAGTTTGGAATCCAATTTCATCAAAGAGTTATAATAACCTTCTTTGTGCTTTTTCATAAGCCATATTTACATACAACTCCTAAAATAAATATCTATTATTTAAACTGACCATGGACCAAAAACGACAAAAACTTTTAACACAAATGGTAACCTCGATCGCTCACATCGTCAGGTCGAATAATATATGAACAATCCTCACTCAGCCACAGATTTTTCAAGACTGAATAGCGTGATGAGGATTCGAAAGCTACCTGGCCGCGCGGACAAAACAATATGTGCATTTGAGTTTTAGCGCGAAAAATCTACTACGTCGGTATCAAAGACCGTAAGTTACTACTCGAAAGTTAAAAAAAAGTGGTACAGTAGACGGTGCTGTAGACCAGTGGCCGCCAACCTCTTCAATGTGTTGAGATACTTTGTTAATTTTGGAATAAACAGCGAGCTCCCCACACGACAGCCACGTAACGAAACGAAAATGAAATAATCCATAGTTAATCTATCATAATATGTATTTATTTTACTGTTTAACTGGTAATATATAATAAATAGGTACTAATAATTAACTAATAACAAAATAACCAATATTACTAGTACGTACTTGTTCATAGCTACATTCCTACCTATCAAACGAAGGTATTTGAAAAATAAACACAAACTTTTATCCAGCCACAACGGCATGTCACGTATGGTTTAAAAATAGTTAAGAAAAAAGTAACGCACTATCATAAACATTCAAACAAACAGTTTCAAGGCAACACGGCATAGAACTGAATATTTGCCTTTACTTACAATAGGCCAGATACATTCAGTACTTAAGACTAACCATTTTAAGGCTAAATCATTTTGAAACTCAATGACTTCCATTTCTGTTGCCGCGGTGTCTTCGCCAAAGTTCTGCATAACACAAGCTGCAAACTGCTGGATATCAATTTCCATAAAGGGTGAAACAACAAACTGCGCTACTAAAGCCATTTCATTGAAATACTTAAAACGATTTTTGAAGTTACTCTTCAGGGTAGAAATTATTTCTACATGATATTTGTTGTCATAGGGTTCTAATGGATTTTGAGATATTTTTTCCGAAAGAATATAAAAATGCTGGGAATCGCTGTTAATTAGGTTTTGTTCCCAAAACTCCAGCTTTTTGATAAATGCTTTTATAACAGAAATCATTTCCGCTAGTTCTTTGTCTCTCCACTGAAGCTGAAAATTAAGTTCGTTTAATTTCTCTGTAATGTCCACGAGAAAACTCTAAGCCAGATTTAATTTTCTAGTTCCGGAGTCAGTGCATCGCGTTGTTTAAAAAATTGAACTATGCCAGATAGAACATCATTAAAACGTTTCAGCACCCGTCCTCTACTTAACCATCGGACTTCAGAGTAGGTCCCCGTATTGACAGTCAACTTCATCGACCAAGGTTCTGAATAATCTTTTTTGTAACGCTTAAGCTCAAATCTTGTTCACAATTTTTACCACCAGTTTCATAACCTTGTTTAGTTTCAGGAAATTTTCACATAATGCTTGCTGATGGATAATGTAGTGGTAACAGAGAAATTGCGGAAAAGTTTCATCTTTATACGATATAATGCCACCAGAACCTTATCACAACCCACCATAGCTGGAGCGCCATCGGTTGTCCAGCCTACCATTTTCGATATATATATATATATATATATATATATATATATATATATATATATATATATATATAAAATATTTTTTAAATGAGAAAACAACTCCTGTCCAGTAGTGTGTCCGTTTAGTGGAATGAACTTTAAAAGATCTTCTTTAATCGTAAAAACACTAAAAACTATCCTAAACACAGTTATCTAAGTCAGTTCTTAACTGTAAAAAAATATCATTGCTCATTACTTCTACACGTCTCATCACTGTATTAGCAGAGAGTTGCATATATTTTATAGCTGAAACTATCTCGTCTTTATTTCTAAAGTTGGCAAATAACGAATCAGCAGCTTCTAAAAACGCCTGTTTTATCATTTCCCCGTCTTCATAAGGTTTTTTTTTTTGTGCAATTATCTGGGACACACGGTACGATGCTTCAGTTGCAGCCCTATTTTTGTCGACTGTTTTTAAAAATATTGATTGTTGTCCAGTTAACTGTTTTGTTAACTGTTTCAGTTTCTCTTTTCTGGCGGCAGAATGTAGTGGAAACGATTTTTCAAAATTAGAATGTACAGTTTTATGATGTCTCTCAATATTTCCTTTTTTTAGGAACCGAGACCGAAGTATTACATAACAAACACACATTTTTATCTTTAACTTCTGTAAAAAGTATTGTTCTTCCCATTCCTAATGAAAGTGGTATGTCTTTACCTTCTTACAACTGCTTGCCATAATATTATTTTTGTTAGGCAATCCAGATCGTTCTCGAACACTAACGCGCTGGTCCTGCTGGTCGGTTTTATAAATAGCCGATTCTAGCTTGACGGCGTCAGGGGCAGATCGCTCACCGCAACGTTGCCACTGTTTATGTTTAATATTATGACAATTAGATTTTTTTGTGGAATTTTCGGCTTCCTTGTTTTTGGCAGTTTGTATTTTTTTAAATTAAAATCGTTGTGAGAGCTACCAGAATTGCCTCCGCGAGCTACCGGTAGCTCGCGATCGACAGGTTGGCGACCACAGCTGTAGACTATTGCGAAGCTTCATACTATATTATTTATAATATTTTAAACCTTAAATAGGATGTTTAAAATTGAATAACGTAATTTTATTAAATGTTTATTATTTATATAGATTTTAATCAAATCTAAAAAATTTATATGTTGTCATTGCTCGTTGCGTAATTGGACTCTTCCAATTGTTTACTGTGATTACTATTTCGTAAAAAGCCATATATAATATGTGCCGATTTAGAAATATCTTCCAAAGTATAAGTATAAAAGTTTGATTTAAAATATTCTACTGATTACTCTTTTTGTCTAAGTTTACTATAATTTTTAAATGACAATTGTAAAATTCCGATATTATTGATATATAAAATAGTTTAAAATAGTTAAGTTTTCTTAAAATAGTTAGTAAAACCGATGATCACCAGTTGACCAGGATAGTTTGAACTATGGTTTTCAAATCACTAAATAATGATCCTTGTATCGGCTTGTAAGTATCTGGTATTTATTTGTTATTTATTTATTTAATCTGAATTTACTAGATTGCTTTTTGTCACTCATTTTTACTATATTGGTTTTAATCAATTTTTGAGTCGTCTGTAATAATCACAGACATATAATAGATAGCACCCTAATACGGATTTTTATAATTTCAGCACTTGGTTTACCATATGTCCTAAGACCTGAAATTGCATATCAAATTATAGTATGTGAACAAGTCGTTAATGGTAAAATAAATAGACTGTGAGTAAGTCTTATTCATATCTCATTTATCTATTAAAAAAACAACTTTAAAGATTAAAAAAATATAAATATCACGTCACAATTATAAACTCAAAAAATTTATACTTTAAGAGCAGATGGTATTAGTAGACGATTGGAATTTTGTTGTGACGTACAGGGAAACTTATTTTATGTTAAAATGTATTATATTTAAATATTAATAGTTATTAACACAATCAGAACTACTCAAATATAATAAAATTTAGTTGTTCACATCTTTCACTTACCAAAAGTATTGTACATCCTATGCATCATCTAAACATATCTCCTTCTTTTAGTTCCATGACCGTTAACGATTGTTGGATATCATGTTGGCTACCATATTCGCTATCGTGACTTTATTGACAGCAGCTCTAAATAACGATGTAGTTGATTTTCCATACCATTACCTTAGATTTTTCAGCCATGATGTTCTTCGTCTACTAGGACCACGATTACTTTATATCTTTTCTAACTCATTTCTAACTCATTTCTAACTCTGTCGACCCAGCTTATTTTCAGTAGTCGTCTGTATACCCACATTTCAAAGGCTGTCAAGCGTTTAAGCATAGCCTCAGTTAGAGTCCACGCTTCCACTTAATATAGCAAGACAGGAAATATATAGGAAAGTGTCATACGAACTCTAAGGTCAATGCTAAGATCGTGACTGCAAAGTACGTTTCTCATTTTTACAAAGGCAGCTCGGGCTTGTTCTATTCGGCTTTTAATTTCTGCGGTTGGATCCCAGCTCCCAGAGATACACGAGTTTCTCTACCCTGTCCATTGTGGCATCTCCGACTTTTATACCGTCATCCTGTATAAATTTTGTTTGCTAACTATTATATATTTAGTTTTCTTAACGTTCACACCAGTCTCTTTTATTTTGTTCATTAGAGTTTGAAGGTCTTCTCCGAAATTGGCAAGGACTAAGGTGTCGTCGGCATATCTAATATTGTTGACGGTTACTCCATTCACAATAATACCTTCGGTTGTCTCCATTAAGGCTTCCTTAAATATTTCCTTCAAACATAAGTTAAAAAGTAAGGGCGACAATATACAGCCTTGTCTCACTCCTCTTTTTATATTTATTTCATTCGACAGTTCTTGTTCAACCTTTATTCTTGCCACGTGATGCCAGTATAGATTTGTTATTATTTGTAGATCTTTATCGTCCAATCCAGCTGTTTCCAATATTTCTAGCATTTTGTTATGCCGGACTTTGTCAAAAGCTTTTTCAAAATCGTAAATTTCAAAAACATATTTACCCACAGTATTATGATAAATAATAGACAATTTGTGTTTCTGTCACATTAACATAATGGTTTTAGAGACATTTAAATAACTTAACAAAATCATTCAGGAATTTGCAGGCCTTTAAATGTCTAGATGGTATAGAATTTAGAATATAAAATTTTACTTTTAAACAGGTGTCGATATATAAATTTTTTTTTAATTTTCTGCTTTTTTTTTAAATTTTATATATTTATAAACAACCCTTTTTATATATGCTCCAAACAGAACATTTAGAAAGATACTTTTGTAACAAACGCTTTAATAGCTCATTTTTGTTTGAATTCATTTCCTTTGAGCTAGTTTTCCTTTTTATCTTTTATTAAAATATTCTCTTTTTTACAGGTAAGTGACTCCCATTAAATTTGTGCTAATTTTAGGTAAGTCATTTTTAATATTAACTGTAACAATTTAGACATTATTTGACGATTGTTTCCGTAATAAGGCAAAACAATTTTTTTTTATTTTTACTTTAAGTAAAAAATTTTTAAAGAGGTACTGAAACTATATTCTTTTGGCATCTGTATGTTAAATACTGTTGTATGTGGGATTAAACCACAATTGATTGTAATAAGAAATACATTATTTTAAAATAAAATTTGAAGTTTCAATTTTGAAAATAAATGGCGACGAAATTTTAAATAAATCACGCAACAGTCAATCTGATGTTCTCAAAAGGTCTAAATTTTGCTGTCACATGTTCATTGGTATTAAAAGTAGTTATAATTAGTGCTGATAACAACTTCTAATTCATGACAAAATTATACAGGGTGCTGTTGAAAAGGGAACAGTAAACCTTAATAAAAAAATCAGTCACAAACAAAACTTAAGAAACAGTCACAAATGGGCCATACACAATACTACAAAAGAACCCAACCCATTCCTTGGAAAACCAAGTACCTATACAAAATATTATTTAAATTTAAAAAGAAGTTGACAGACTACCAAAATAGATTCAAAATATTCCAATACAGCAAAACACTACAGCAATATAGATTCCTAAAAATGCCCAAAACTATCGTAACCTTTAGACTTTAGACCAATTTGTAGCAGCATGGGTTTTCCTTACATTAAACTGTCTAAGTTCTTTCTAGATATAATACAACCATTGACAACACTTTTATAAAGAAATAACAACAGTTTCTACAAAAACTAGTAGTCATCCAGTGCAACCTCTTAAAGCCTCTAGTCGGTTTTGATGTATTTGTTAGCGTATTCGCTATAGTGCTGTAGAAAAATCCATAAAGATCCTGTTTAAAACAGGACGATACTTCGATAACCAGAACAAAACTGAGTGTATCCCCTATAATGGAACTATTAATATTATTTATTAACAATACCTATTTTTAATTACACAACGATGTTTATAAACAAGATTTTGGATTAGGTATGGATTCTTCGTTATCTTCATTGTTAGCGGATATATTTATAAAACAATTGAAGGAAATATTTTATACAAGTATAAACAAAACTCGTAAAATGGTGGACATATGTAGACAATGTCTTCTTTATTTGGCCTCATGGACCAGAAGCTCTGAATATTATTTTAATGGTTTACTACCATTTTTTGATGTGTTAGTCACAAAGTAGGATATAGGATATGTATTCTAAACATAGAGCTAAAAAGTGAAGTAAAGTTCGTGTAACCTTCTGGCTAAGGTCTAGGGTTAGAATTTTCAGATTATGCAAGCGCTCCAACATGACTTAACGACTACTTTCGTAGCGAGGACTGATGGCATTACGTGGCCTTCAAAGCAAGGTGGCAGCTCAGTTAAATGAGAAACTGAAAATTTTGTCGGTGCGGAGATTCGAACCCGAACCCTCTAGCTTGTTAAGCCAGTAACATTTCCACTGAGCTACGGCTGCCAGAACCTAGAGCTGAAATGTGTTGACTTAGAGCTAAAATTAAATCGGAATTGCAAACAGAAATAAAATGTTCATGAATCCTATTTTAAGTTCTACGATTTGTTACGCCTATATAAGATCAAGGGCATTATACACAAGGAATTTGATAAACTTCGTGTTGCTTATTTGAAATGTTGTCTTTGATTGATTGGATAAGAGATGAACGTTTTTGTTGGGGTGCAAATATGGTCTTTATTTCTCTTGATTTAACAATTTTGTCGATTTTGTCAGTAACACCTTAGATGTAAGGAAGACAAGCTTACGTATAATGAGGGTCTAATTCTATGGGTTATGATAGAGTTGGAGATTGATGTCTTTGGATGATCCTATTGATGTAATTTGCGCGGTAACCGTTTTAGATGAGGGCTTGTTTCAAAGTAGAGACCTGAGCGGGTTTACTTCCATCATCACAAAGGCGTATTGTAACCTCGGAAATCTTTTTTTGGGTGGTGCTAGAAAGATAACCAATGGAGACGCTGCGGACGGCAGCCAGATGGTTGGTGGAGAGCGAGTCGTGGGTTCAAAACTAGCTTTTGGAACCGGGAATGGATCCAACGGAAGAAATAGGTAAAGATAGGATAAGAGATATTAGAAAAGATACAGAAATAAACAAAAAGATAGATGGGTAAAATTACCAAAGATAAGAGAAGATAGAAACAGGGCGCCACTCAATTTTTTATG